TATATTTATCTCTAATTTTATCCTCAATAGGCGCAACCTCTAATTTACTACATGCATTCATTTCTTATCCTAAATTTTAATGTATACCCACAAGACCATCACAACATTCTCACTTCTGGAACACTCATTTTTTGAACATATTGTTTTTTAATTGCCCAACATTCTGACCCATTAATTATAGTTGGTCTTATAACTGTCCTATAGAATTTTTCCTTTAGTTTCATTGGTATTCTACGATCACATAAGACTTCCGAAGCACTCCTCCATTTCAACCATCCCGATTTGATTCAATACACAACATCATCCTCTATCTCACCATCATGCCTAATGATAGATCCTAAATAGCGAAAATATTTAGTTTTAGGTATTTCTTGGCCATTAATATGTACCATAGGCTCTTTTTTTCCTACTTTTACTAAAAATACATTCCATATATTCTGTTCTTATTCTACTAATTCTAAAACCTTTAGACTCAAGAGCTTGTCTCCCTCTTTCTTCTTTAGAGCATCTTTAATCTCGTAAATCCTAATTTTACAACAATATCTATAGTTCCTATCATTCACTATATGGTCAAAAATCTCTACTTTGCTCAATTTTTTTATTATCATTAAATAATTGATAAAAGTAACCCCTCCACCTCACTTTTATTTTCCCGTCGGTCACTAGAACTCTTTGATCCTCACTTTTAATACACCTAATATTACCGAAATATCTACTCTTCCTTTCTCTAATCTTAGCAAGTTTATATATATCTTTCTCTCCCTCCTTAGATTCTAACTTCTTATAAAAATTTTCATAAGCTTTGTATTTATTTTCGCTAACTGCTATTTTTGCTTCCTTCCTTACTAGTTTATATTTTTCTAAGTTTTTCCTACTCCTACACTTTTGCCACTCTTTATATAAAGTTTTCTTCTCTCTAATAACCTTTTGCACACTCTTATTCCACCACCAACTCTTCTTACCGTCTAATTTATAACCATTAGATTCTCCTAGTATATCTTTAGCGACTTTCTTAATACAAGAAGACATGCTATTCCATATAATATTAGTCTTATTATCTATGTTTCATATATCTTCTTTCATTATCTTATCCTTAAAATGTATTAAATTCTCTCCTTTTAAGTTCGATCATTTAGTTCTTAGTCTTTTGTTCACGTTTATTTTTCTGCTCCACTTTGTAATAGATATGTCTTAGACTATCAAGCTATATTGTGTACTTAAACTCTCTCCTGGTATAACTTTACAATCTTTGCATATTAACCTATCCGCCATCCTAGTACGAAAAAGTCTATTGGACTATTATTAAAACTATTTTTAAAGATTATTAAATGTTCATCCTTTTTTCTAAAAAGTGTATTTGCTATTATCCAATCATTCGATATTGCAAAATCTAGAATTGATTTACCCATATCGTTCTTATCTCCATACCCAAAACCTCCATGTATCTTCTCATATCTGTTATTATCCTTACCAACATGCCCATTAAGATCCCCTCCTATAAGTAATTTCTCTCCAAATGAGATTTTTTGTACTAAATCATCTAATTTGTCCCAAAATTTTCTCTTAGTACTCTCGAGCAAGCCTATTTGTGGTGCGTAAGTACTAATAATATTAATAACCTCTACACCTAAGACAACTTTTATTAAGTACTAATAATATTAATAACCTCTACACCTAAGACAACTTTTATTAGTATTATTCTATCTCCAACTCTTCTTACATCTACAATTAATAACCTCTACACCTAAGACAACTTTTATTAGTATTATTCTATCTCCAACTCTTCTTACATCTACAACGCTTTCTTTTATTATATTACCTACAAGAACTTTCACTCCATTCCTATTCTTCACTTTTCCCGTGTATCAAAGTTTATATCTGATCTTTTTAATTTCTCTAGATTTTCACCTATCCATTTAGTTTCTTGTAAACAAATTATATTTATCTTTCTTCTAATGATGACATCAACTGATTCCAATGCCTTTCCGGTAAGTGTACCTATATTCCAAGTAGCTAATCTAATTCTATTTTCTTGTAAAAATCTCCTACCATTTTCCCTCTTAGACTGTTCTAGTCTATGTCTAATACTATTAGATACCCTACTAGATAATTGTAGATTCTTAGAACACCCTTACTTGTCATTACACCCGGGTGACATCGATGTAATGCGTCGCTTCCGGGGAACACCCTAGCAAACCGCCCTTGCTTGCTTATCATTGCATCAGGGTGGGATCGATGCAACGCGTCGCGGTGGGGATGCCCCAATCAATATAAAATATAATTCATTTTGCATGTGGATCTGACTATATTTTTCGCTGACTGTCGGCTACCTAATATAACCCTCCTTTATCCTAGCTTAGGACAGGTAGTGCTGACAAACAGCACTGGCAGAGTTTTTTTAATTGAGTTGCTATTCAAATAAATCAAAGTATAGCTATCACCTTAAATGAGCCGGACCAGGCCGGACCTTGCCTGGTCGAACATAGGCTAGGTCAGGCGTGGGTCGAACCTACTTCTTTGTTCACAGGTTTAGAGCAGATCTTAGCCCGATCCACGGCCCTGGCGTATCACGAGGCGGGTTGGGTCTAGCTCACAGTTGGCTGGGTTGGGTCTTAACTCACGGCGGGCTGAGTCGGTTTGACCCGCAATTTAAACCGGCCTACGCCCACCCTATTTGGTCATTTAAACATGTGGAATTACAGAAACATTCTAAAGAGTTCTACAACATATAACAAGCCTCCTGAAATCTAAAGATCGATAGGATTCCTAGTAAATCGAAAAATTATAAACACCCCTCCCCCAAAAGAAAATTATAAAAACATCCTCAATAACATAAAACAGTAAAAATTACAAAAAATTCTAAAATTTTCAAACCTTAAAAAAATAAGAATTTCAAAATATGTAAATAGCCCCTAGCCAAACTTAAAATTTGTAGAAGACACCCTAAATTTTCTAAAAATAGTGAAAAACACCCTAAATTTTTGAAATTTACAAAAAAAAAATTTAGAACACACAAATAGTATATAGAAATCTAGGAGCTCCAAGCAGCCTCTTAAAAATTTTAAATTTGCAGAAAACACCCTAAAATTCTTTTAAATTGTAAAAAACCCTCAAATTTTATAAAAATACCCTAAGAATTCCAATCCTATGAACAGTTAATAGAAAATATTGACAGACCCCTAAAATTTTTAGAACTTGCAAAAAACATCCTGGAAGTTTTGAAAATTACAAAAAATGCCCTCAAGCTTCAAAATTTATAATAAACACCTTTGAAAATTCAAATCCATAAAAAATATCCTAACAAATATATTTATACAAATAACACCCTGAAAATTTTAACATTGCAAAAAATGCCCTAGAAGTTTAAAAAATTACAATAAATGCCCTCAAAATAAAATATATATAAAAGATAGCCTTAAAATTTCATAGATACAAATAGTTAACTAAAAATTTTATAAATTTAAAATTTGTAAAAAACACCTTCAAAGTTTAGAAAATCGCAAAAAAACACCCGAAAAGTTTATAATTGTGTAACTTCTAGGGTGTTTTCTGCTAATTCTAAAGCTTTTAGGGGAATGTTTGTAATCCTATATTTTCAATGTGCTTTTTTATAGGTTTGAAAATTTTTAGTGTTTTTTTGTAATTTTAGAATTTTCTACAAATTTAAAATTTCAGGGGCATTTTTTTCAAATTTTGAGTTGTACATGAGGCTTTAGATAATTGCTAGATTTTTGAGGAGATTGTTTATAAGCTTAATAATTTGAGGGGGCTTTTTGTACTTTATATACCTTGACTTGAGAGTGGTGGTGTTCCTTCCTTATGACATGTTTATACCGAACACATGAATATTTCCCCCACTAATTATTCTAGGGTCCTAATTACTATGCTAAATTTTAATCCTAGTTGCTTTGACCTCATACCAAATGACTCCTAAGGGATAAGAGAGAGACCCTGTTAGGATTGTGTCTTTGATTCTTTGTATAATTTCATGAGAATTAGATAGAGTTAGAGATCTATCATGATTAGGAGATTGAGTCTCATCATGATTAGGAGTTTGAATCCTATTCTAATTAGGAAGTTAGGCTAGAGATAGAGTTTTGGTTTTCCTATATATATTCTTCTATTGTTGGAGGAAAAATCAAGGTGAAGAGAGAGAGCCAATATTCTTGTAATCTAGGGTTAACAGAGCGTGTAACCTGATTCAAGAATATTGTGTGAGAGGCGAGGGTTTCATAGTCTTTATCCGTGCAAAAGATTACATCATTGGGAGAGGGTTTCGCAGTCTTTGTCCGTTCAAAAGATAGTAAGGAGTGGGTTTTGGAGAGTATGAGACTTGATTATGTATGTGAGGTTGAGAGATTGAGAGACGAGAGTTGAATGGTTCCTCTTGTATTTCTCCCTGATACATAGTGGATTTCTCGTATTGTTGCCCGTGGACGTAGGTCGAAGTTGGTCGACCGAACCACATAAATCTCGGCGTTTTTTCTTCTTGATTATGGTTGTTTTATATCTTATTGATTGTGGGTTGGCTTCCAAGTTGCACAAATCGTGGTACACGGGGAGACTAAAATTCCCCAACAGACCCTTCTTAATATCTCATGAGAACGAGAGCAAGATCTCACAAGATTTGCATAATATTAATTTAATCATGTCTTGCTTCTTAAATGACGATTGTTGTCCTTACTTTTTGTTAGCAGAGGGGTGAATTAGGTCTTTACATAGGGTATAACAAAGCTAGTTTATGCCCTGAGAACAATAAAGCCATTCTTTTGTTTAATTATTAGATGTATGAGTGGTGATAATGGTAGTACGAAACTTATATTACTTTTGTACTCCTACAAACAAAAAAAGTAGAGTTCAAAATGGCTCATAGTTTTGACAAATTTTAAAAAAAGACCCCACACATTTGTTAGTGGTAGTACAAGACTAATGTGGAACTTGTAGTACATTAATATCTATTTATTTACTGTTATGTAACTAAATCTATCTGATCTCATTAGTTTCAGGCATCATGGCATTATCATGCTTGTCTCAATGTGGAACCAATGTAACATCTGAACTTGGTAAAGATATAGTTAATTACCTTTTTATTCATTTGAAGTCCAGTTTTGGCTATCTAGTTCACTACAAAGAGAAGGTTAATAATCTCCAACAAACTTTCGAAGATTTGAGAAGCGTAAAAAATGACATACAACGAAGAACCAAAGCAGCTGAGAAAAATGGAGAAGTGGTAGATGACGTAGTGACTTCATGGCTAAGAAAAGTTAGCGAACTCGAACAAGCAGTAAATACAATGTTAGCAGAGATTAGAGAGAACAAAAGAAGCTTCAGAAGATTCTATCCTAATTTAATTTCACGTTACAAGCTTGGGAAAGAAGCTACAAAGAGAAAACTTGATGCTGAAAAGCTCCAAGAGAAAGGGAATTTCGCAACAGTGTCTCAACTTCCTCCTCCACCTAGCATTGAATCAATGCCTGCAGGTGATTTCATGGCTTTCAGCTCGACCATCGAAGCTATGAACAACGTCCTAAAGGCAATGAGGGATGAAAATCAACAGTTAATTGGAATTTACGGTATGGGTGGCGTTGGTAAAACAACGTTAATGGAAGAACTTGGGAGGCAATTCTCAATAAGCAAAGAATTTGGCACGGTTATTAAAGTCGTGGTGTCGCAAAACCCTAACATAGATCAAATCCGCCGTGAGATTGCTGAAGAGCTCGGGATGAGACTCTTTGGAGAGGGTGAATCTGCTGCTAGAAAACTTGCTGATAGGTTGAAGAAGGAAACCAAGATTGTCATCATGATGGATGATATTTGGTCAAGGCTAGAATTGAGAGTTATAGGAATCCCAATCGGAGATGAGCACAGAGGATGCAAAATTTTGTTTACTACAAGAACACTTCAAGCTTGCCAACTAATGGAAAGTCATGCTTCGATTTTAGTGGATGTTTTGACAAGAGAAGATTCTTGGACTCTTTTCAAAAGCAAAGTAGGTGATATCTGTAGATCGCCTGATATTGAAAATGTTGCAAGAAAAGTCGCCGATGAGTGTGGAGGCTTGCCACTAGCAATTGTTGTCGTTGGACGAGCATTGAGAGGATGTAGTGAGAAAAGTGTGTGGGAGAGTGGCTTGATGCAGTTAAAAAGATCGATTCCTGATGAGTTGTTGAATGTGGAAGAACAGTTGTTCAAGTCTCTTGAATTGAGTTACAACTACATTAAGAACGAAGAGATGAAACTCTTGTTCTTGTTTTGTTGCCTATTTCGCGAAGATTATGAAATAACCGAAGATGAGCTAACAAGATACGTTGCTGGTGAAGGTTTCTTGAAGGATGTATATAGCTTGGACGAAGCAAGAGGAAAAATACATTTGCTTGTGCATGATCTGATAGCGAGTTGCTTGTTGCTGAAAACCGAAAGAGAGAGATCAGTGAAAATGCATGATGTGGTTCGAGATGTTGCTGTTTACATTGCATCTAAAGGGGATGATTGTTTCTTTGTTAAGGCTGGCTTAGGTATGAGATACTGGCCTGAGAGCAAAACTTTGGAGATGTGCAAGAGGATTTCTTTGATGAACAATGATCTTTTGGAACTTCCAGATCAACCAAATTGCCCTAAATTACTCACCCTTCTATTGAATTCTAATCCTTCTTTGAAAAGCATTTCGAGTAGTTTTTTTCAGGGTATGGCATCTCTTGCTGTCCTGGATTAAGTGACACGAATATTGAGTTGTTGCCTTCTTCTCTCGCTCTTTTGACCAATCTAGGATCACTTCGTCTTGACCGCTGTAGGAGATTGACTGATTTATCTTTGATTGGGGAACTAAGGAAGCTCAAGATACTTGGTCTGCAGAAATGTCAAGTTGACAATTTGCCAGAAGAAATAGGAACTTTGGCTGATTTGAAACTCTTGGATATTTCATATTCAACTTCTCTTGCCTTAGTAAAGGGGCTATCTCGGTTAGAAGAATTGTTCATGATAGGTTACAATATAAGAGAATCTCTCTTTCTCCATATCGGTTACTTGGAAAGATTGGCCTACATACAGATGTACATAAGTGATGTCAGGTACTTCTCTCAAGATGTCGAAGCCCTTGATGGCTGGAAGAACTTGAAGAAATTCATGATTTATTGTGAATATGATTGGTATTCACTTGCAACTATCCATCAGAAGAATCTGTTTCTTAAAAATGTGGATCGAGCAGGGAATTGGACAAAGATACTGTTGACGGAAGCAGAAGATTTGATCTTAGACAGCTGCAACTGCGATCGAGGTGATTTTGTCAATGTGAAGAAACTTCGGCTTGTGAACTGTGGTACCATAGAAAACCTGCTTGACACCTCAAAACCAGAATTTTCTCCAAATGCCTTCGAGAACTTGGAGCACCTAAACCTCGCAAACTTAGAGAGTTTGAAAACAATATGTCAAAGCGAGATTCGATCTTTATCGTTCAAGAAAATGAGAGTCTTGGAGATAATTCGATGCAAGAACGTGGTGTGCATAATGCCTTATAATTTGCTGCAAAGATGTCATTACGTTCTACAAGTCGTCTCTGTGAACTCGTGCACTGAAGTGATCGAGATATTCAACTCTGAGGGGTTCACACAAGGGATTCCTATATTGCCAAAGCTTGAAAGACTGCAATTAACTTCCTTGCAAAATCTCATAAGACTCTTCAGTGGAAATGTACCAAATGGGAGCCTTCGGAAACTAAGTAGTCTGCAAGTATCTGGCAGTAACAAACTTCAATTCTTGCTCCCACAAATTACAGGGGCCTTTGTAAACTTGAAAGAGCTTGAGGTTGGAAGTTGCGCAAGCTTGGAGTATCTGTTGTTGTCGAGCTTGGCTATAGAGTTAAAAAACCTAGAGAGACTTACGGTGAAGAAAAATTATGCGATGGAGGTGATAATTGAAGGTGAAGATGGTGTTGTGGTGAACAAAAGCTTGTTTCCTCGATTGAAGGAGGTTGTGCTTGTAGATCTTCCAACGTTGGGGAGATTTTATCGAGGGGAAATAGCAGGTCGCTGTTTCGATTGGCCTTTGGTTGAGTTTGTGAGGTTGGAGCTTTGTCCAAACATGAAGATGTTTCCCATCGGAAGCAAGAGTGCACCTAAGCTGAAGAAGATACACATGGGAGACGACGATGATGTTGAATGGTTCAAAGCGATGGAATGGGAGGATGCAAGTATTCTTTCGCGCTTTGAAATCAGCTGGTAAGTTTAGTGGTATATCATGTTTTGAGTCTTTTTTACTTTTATTTTATTTGGTAATTAAGTTAAGTTGTTTAACGTTTACACGGTTGCTGATATAATCTCGTCTTGAATAACAGCAAAACTGGGCCTTAATTGATTGCAAGAAGCTAAAGAGTATGGTTCGCAAGCTAGAGAATGCATCAACAGGTGCAGAAATGTTGCTTGCTGAGAGATATTATGTACATTGCCTTGAATTATATCATGCGACGTGATTGTAATATCCCTAATTTTCTAGTGATAATAAGTCTAAGTTATTATTTGTTTAAATAGATATCAAAAAAATTGAGTTAACAATAGTAATTTATAAAGATAAGTTTGTAAAGGATGTTAATTTATGCAAAGGAAGAATAATAACTACATATAGTCACATATTTTTTTATTTACTAGTACGAACTCGTACACGTTTTAAGTTTTAATTTTTTTTATTAAATAGTAAAGCTATGTGTTAATAAATAAAATCTTATAATAAGATTACTTAAAAAAATGTATTAATTAATTAATTATCATGTTGTTATTGTAATTGAATGTTTTTTTTATAATGATCACTCAGTGTTAACCTTTTTTTAAATAAGCCTCCAAATCTAAAATTGTTCTTAAATAAAACTGTCGATTCTATAAGTTCTCTTAAATATGTTCTCCAACTTAAAAGTTATTAACTTAACTCTAAATTACTTAACTCTAAATTAACTAAGTTACATTAATCTTGCTAGCTTTTTCCTGATACTCCTTAGATAGTTATGCTTGATACCTGCAACATATTGTAATAGTTACTCTCATTATAATTATTTAATAAGGTAAATTACACTAAAGCCTTATGAACTTTTAGCCCATATAAACTTTTAAAAGTATACTAAATCCCTAATGACTTTTCTATTTCAAAGAGTACCCCCAATAACTTTCTAAATTTTGCAAATAACGCTTATAAATTAGAACCTGAAATGGCATAAAAAGGTATTTTGAGAATTATTGGGGGTTTGGTGTAATTTATCTAAAATATATTGAGGCCTTTCTACAAACTTTATTAGGGGTTTAGTGTGATTTTGAAAGTTTATAGGATCTATTTACTGCAAAATGCTAAAAGTTCATGGGGGTTTATTGTAATTTACCATATTTAATATTATAGTTTTTAGTTCAAATAATACTATTAAAATAATTATACTGTCTATATACTATAAAATATTTATCTAACTTAATTTTTATAATGATGCTCTTAAGAAATTTAGTACTAAAATATTTTATAAATTTTTATTATACTATCATTAATAATTAATAGTATTATTATTAATATTAACTTTTTTTTTTGTAAAAAATTTAGTTTTCAATCATCACCAGTATCAGGTAATAATCTTTGAGAAAATACTCTAAAAATAATATTAAATTATTTATTTATTTTATTTAATAATATAATAATAAATAAATAGTGTAATTAAAATAATTATATTATTTATGCGATTCAAATTTTATTCTATTTATTTTATTGCTTATTGAATTATAGTACAATTCTTAATAATATTTAATAATATATAATTCTAGTTATATTTATTTATTTATTTTATTGTAATTCATTAATAATAATTATAATAATTTAATTGGTTACCACTAATAATTGTGTATACTTAATTTATAAATTATTTTATTTAAAAAATTAATAGTTATAATATTATTGATAATTATAGTTATTTAGAAAGGTGAGGAAGTGCATAATTAATAAGAGGTTATATTTATTTAATGAAAGATTAATTAGAGATAATGACATAGTTAGAATTTAGCAAAATTTGAGAGGGCAAAAAAAGAAAAATTCAAATGTTTTAACATCCCAATCATCTTTTTATAGTAGTATAGAAGATGTTTACTAAAGGGCTTGTTGCAATTGGATATTTGTTAATGGGTTCATTGGAAGTGGATACTGAATAAGAGAAAGGAATGAAAACCCTAGCTGCACGTCCTTTTGAGAATTGGCAGCCAAAAAAGAAAAAAAGAAAAATAACGAAAAGACGACAATCCGCGAGAGTAGGAAACCGAGAAAAAAGAGAGAGGAAAGAGATTGAATATTTATTGGTGAGGAGCACAGATTGATTAATCAAGCTTACACAATGAATAAGGTGAACCCCCACATCCCCTTTTCTACTAATATATCTCTATCTCTTGCTTTTTTACTAAAATCCTATGTCTAAGTTAATTTAGATTATTTTTGTTATCTAATCGATGATACGCCTTGACTTTGTATGTCAGACTTTGCTCTCATGCCCATGGATAAGTCTTCAGCCTGGTGCATCCCTTGATTATCTCTTTTATAACTTTTTTTTTATTAAAATAAATTAGCAAGCATGCATGGCTATTCACATGTAACCCTGTATTTCTGTATCATTGCAGACCTTTTGTCTTTTCTGTAAGAGGAAATCATTGAGGCATGTGGTATATGGATTGAGATCATCTCCTAAGGAATAGTGTTTCCCAAGATCTCCTAATACATCTCAACCATTAATTGCATAGGACCTTCTCGTTTTTTGTGCTCATACACAAAATCAAAGGTTGAGATGCATTAGGAGATCTTAGGAAACACTATTCCTTAGGAGAGGATCCCAATCCATAGTATATAATATGGTTTTGTAGGATGAAGGTTAATATGTGTTATATTATTGTTTTATTATTTGGTACGGTTGTATTAAAAATAATGCTAGGGGCACACTCTCAACCACACTCTCAACCACACCTTCACACTCTCTCTAGTGCTAGTGGGCCATGCAAGATATTTTTAAAAAAATATCTTACATGACCCACTAGCACTAGAGAGTGTGAGAGTGTGGTTGGGAGTGTGGTTAAGGTTGTGCCCCTAGTGGGACTCTTGTATTAATGGTTATTATATGTATTTTTTAGGAGTACCTAGAGTTTTCGTAGAGGAATGGCAAGTGGAATTTGGTTTTCTTGTGGATTTCAGGTAAGTGATGAATTTATGCATGTTGCGCTACGTATTTTTCATATAAAGTTATATCAAGTATATGTGGATTTGTCCCGAATAGATTATATTATTTGGTATGATTTACTGATATATCAATTGTTAGTTAGATTGTATTTTGTGATGCATGCAGATATTTTGGTATAAGCGTACACTTACTTCTTTGTTGACAACCATGTCTTATCATATAGTAATAAGTTGAGATGCATTTGTGATTGCTTAATTTCACTACTGGTTAGCCTTTAGCAATTCTTTATAAAGTATTTGGTTATATGAATTTTCTTTATTTTTTCTTAAAGCATATGCATCTCAGGTCAGTATACCGGTATATGTCGGGGATAAGTAAGCCATCTAAACAGGGCTCAATATGCCTATGTGATACGAGTCACCGGACGAGCACTCTTGATCGCGGAATTATCAAGAGTGAGTTGTGAAGAAGACAAAAGAAAACACACAAGAATTAAGTTAGTCGAAGGAAAATATCTTCTCTAGATTATGAGAATTAATTAGATTACAAATCTTTCTCTCACAATCTCTCTAGATCAAAAGAACATCTCCCTGATCTCCTTTTTCAATACAATCTGGTTTCTAATTTCTCTCTAGATCAAAACTGATCTCTCTTAGACCTAATCTCCTTAGATCTACATCTCTAACAATCTCCTCTGTTTAGAAACCCTAAACGATCTTTATTTATAAAGTTTACAACGTGGATGGTAAACTTGTAAATAAACAAGCCCAATCAAATCAGGAAACTGTGTCAATCAGGAGTCCTAAAATGCCCAGGAACCCGACGCAATCGACCGCGGCATGTGGCACGGTCGACCGGACAGAGTCCAGTCTCAAACCCTGCACCGTGCAGGTTGGCGGTCGACCGCGCATGTTGCCGTGGTCGACCGGCCAGAGTTCTGCCAGTTTTTCCTGTTCTCTGCATTTCGCTCCTTCTGACTTCTTTCGTCGCCTTCTACGGCTCCATCCACGCTCCTATTCCCAAGATATCATGAGAATCGTCTATCCTCAAGCTTCCATGAGGATCGCTAAGCTCCCGAAGCAGAGAAGAAGATACACCCGTATCACTATGAGGTTATTTTAGCGCTAAACCCAATCTTTGTGTCCTTATATCCTAGTACGATGGCATTAATAAAAGTGGGGATACCGTGTCGATCGGGGTATTAAGTGTTGACCACATTAAGACGTGGACTACTTATTTTTCATTGCATAATTTTTAAGTTATCAAATATTTGCATCAAGTATTAGAGTTCATTGATGATTTTTTTTGTTATTTTAATACTTTGCTTATCATTTGTCAAAATATTTAAGTTTCTGCAAAACCAGTATTTAATGTATAAATTTATCCACCTATTGAGTTATGAACTCATTATGTTATATTTATTTTTTTCAGAGACTTGGGATTAGGTGGAGTTGATGTTTCCTAAATTATTAGAAGGGAGCAAGAAATAAAATTTTCAGATTGCTACTTTTTTTCTTCTAGGTGAATGTTGAATAAAGTCTTCGATATGTAGTTGATAATTAGAAGCTTTGTAATAATGGAATATTTCCCTTTAGATTGACTTTTATTTCAAGCTGATGAATATTTGTTTATCTCAAGTTTTTTTTGGTCAATGAACTTTAATTTTATTCATTTTCCAATTGAGAATGAGGAGTACAACTAAGTGCCAGTAAAACTGGAAATCAAGAAAAAATTACAGTTCCTCAATGATATTTTTCATATGTACATTAGAAGAATCATTGTAAACTTTAGCAAAAACTGAGAATTTGATCTCTCTTAGAACCTGAGCAGGGAGACTCATTTTGCCTTGAAAAATTCTTCGATTTCTCTCCTTCCAGATCATATAGACTGCAGTGGATAAACACATCCTCTTCAATTTCTTTATAGGGCCTTTTCCTTTCAAATTACATGAATACCAATTCAAAACCAAGCTCCATACACAAGATCTCCATCTATATTTCAGCCATTCCAACGCTGAATTCCAAACTTCAGCTGAAAATTGGCATTCAAAGAAAATGTGGCTACTAGTCTCCAGCTCCTGCCTATCACACAGAACACAGTGAGACTGATTGGTGCTCAAGATACCCATTCGGCACAATCTATCCTTAGTGAGAATCCTTGAATGACAAACAAGCCACAAAATGAAAGAGTGTTTGGGATATAAGAAACTATCCCATACAGTTTTAGCCCAGGGCACTGTAATCAAAGGCTGGATAAGGGACTTATAAACTGCAGATAAGTGGAGTTTACCCTCAGCAAAACATTTAGTCATAGCAGCCTCAATATTGTCCACATTACCAAACTTGTGCAACAACATATCCCTTACTTTAAGGAGTTGCCTCCATGTCCATGAATCATTTGTCTTGGATGGAACAGACCAGATATTGAACCTCTGTAGGTAATTTCCATGGATCCACTTTATCCATAGTAGATCCTTTTTAAGATGAATCATCCAAAGGAGCTTAGTTGCAGCAGCAAAATTCCAATGTTTATCTCAAGTTAAATGGATTAATATTGACTTTTGGATTATAAGGAATATTTGTTGGTTATAATTCAATAGTGAGATTGTTTTGGTGGTCTTTCGATGAATCTAGATTTTGAGGGGCATTTTGATAGGTTTAGCCCAACTCTAATATTCATTCTAGCTTGAAAACTGGGGTCGTGACGGTGATGATATACCTTACTAAGTTGCTTGAAAGAGTTGGGTGTATCATTTGTGTCCTCTTGCAGCAAATCCTTCGGGGGAGAATTATATCACGTATCGTTTCCTAGTTTGCATACAACATTACAGTGTAACGGGAAATAATCCACATTGTCATCGTCAGATTATTTGCTGAAATCATCTGTCACGAGCTGAAGTAAGAAACCAAAGTGGATCTCAACTAGACAACATGTAGCGGTTCAAAATAAGAAAGATAATTAGAGGATTTTTGACAAACCATTGAAGTACCTATTGCAGGAGAAAAAGATGGCACAAGAGGGTTCATAGACTGGAGCCATTGTTGTAACCGGATACGACAACGATCAAACCAGTATTAGTTTAGAACCAGCAACTATCGAACCGCATCATGTTGCCTTCAGCGTTTCTTCCTCACAATTCCTCCGAATTTCTACCAACTGCTCATCCGATGCTGCCCTCAAACTTAATTTTCTTGCCACTCCTCTGGAGTTCAAGTGTTCTGGATTTAGGATAAAAAAACCATGGTTCCGAACGAATAGATCCAATCCATTCCCAGGAAAACCTCCAGGTTTACTCATCGGTAACGAAATTCGCTGATGCGGAAACTCCATGTATCTCCAAAGGCACAGCCTCACACACCTCATCTCCGCGAATCTTTTCACTATTAGGTAGTAGTTCCGCGGAAGCACATTTCTCAGTGTTGATAGGTAGTGAGGCTCTTTGTACAATCCTAGGACCAACAAAACTATTATCAGTCCCCGATTTCAGAAGTAACGGTACTTCAAACCCCTCTGTCTTACCCACAAAACGCAGCGCCCCCGATCCCCCGTAATGGCTCAACTTTGTTGGACTTATTTTGGCCAAATGGCTTATTAGAAAAGGTCATACCATCACCCCTATGCCTGAGCACGAGGTGGAGGGTGGAACCTTTCTTCTGGATGTTGTAGTTAGCGAGAGTGCGACCATCCTCGAGCTACTTTCCTGCAAATTAAGATTAGCCTTTGTTGGTCAGGAGGGATTCCCTCCTTGTCCTAAATCTTGGCTTTGCCGTTTTCGATGGCGTTGGAGCTCTCAGCCTCAAAAGTGATGGTCTTGCCAGTTAGGGTCTTCACGAAGATCTGCATCTAGAATCACAAAATTATACAAAAACGAATTCAATCCGTAAAAAAAAAATAAAAAATTTACAGCAGACCCTTGTAAAGAGGACAATACTACTGTGTAAATCATCATAATGGTTGGGCAAATTAAAACACAAAGATTTGCAAGAGAAGCTTAATTCAGAGTAGCGAGAACAACTTCAGTGAATGAGGCAATTACAGGTTTAATTTGAATCTCAAAGAGCCTTATCGAGTCTTCACGAAGATCTGCATCAAAAGCTTATTATATAATATAAAGATAACAAAAATCACATAACATCTTTAAAACTGTAATCAATCGAAATCTAAAATTGCTCTTAAATTTCTTACTAAAATCACATAACCTCCCTCAAAAAGGACAATCATTAGAACCTCTCCATAGTTTTCAAATAGCAAAGATTTATGTTTTTTGATTGGTATCACGTCCATTCATGTGTTGCCTAAATACCTCAATTTACACATTCAGGACAGTTCATGCAATTCTATTCAAAACTTCAAATACGTTTAGTAAAAATTTTATGCTGTAAAAGTAAAAGTAAAAGATATCTTCAGGAAACTCGACGCGTCCAAAGTTGTACTTTTAACTGCGAAAAAGTTATTGTTCAGATCAGACTGGATATCATAAACTTACATAAAACCTATTATATATGTGATTCTAATTCCCCCCCGCCCCCCCCCACACACACACACATATATATATATATATATATATTAATATATATATATATATATATATATTAGTAGAGAGAGAGAGAGAAGGAGGAGAGGAGAGAAGAGAGAGAGAAATGGGTATACTTGATACCAAGCACAAATTTTGTGCTTGATAGTGAGATATCATATCTCATCCACTCATTCTAATTCCTAACAATTCCCCAACCCATGTGAATGTCGGCCGATTTCAATGAGTGGAGGAGAATATGCCCACTCACTACCAAGCATAAAAACTTTTGCTGTGGTACCAAAGCATACCCATTTTTCTCTCATAGTATATATATTATATATATATATTAATATAGAGGAATATGGGTATACTTGGGCCAAGGTCCTTGTAGTGATGTGGACACATCTTGTCACATACATCACACCTTGAAGTTGGTGAGGCTCCATCTTCAAGTGTGATGAGAGGGTTGTTATTGGGACAAGATGTGTCCACATCCACTACCAAAGGATCCTTGGTACCAAGTATACCCATTTTTCTCATATATAATATATATATATATATAATATATATATATAATATATAATATATATATATATAATATATTATATATATATATATATATATATAAGAGTGAGAGAGAGAGAGAGAGAGAGAGCAAAACTTGTGTCAACTTAAGTGATTTAGCAACAAGTTATCCACCAAACTTTTTAGCCACTCATATTGCCTAGGGATCCTCGCATGATATGAAAAGGTTTTTTATATTAATAAATGAGTGGCTAGGAAGTTTGGTGGACATCAACTTAAGTTGATAGAAGTCTTCCTCTATACACACACAGAGTTCTGTTTCAAAGCGCCAAAAAATTTAGGTAACACTTTCAGATATATAAGAAAAATAATTTTGAACAATAAATACAGTTCTAAGCAGTAATCAAATCAAAGCAATGGATTTCATACAACATAAGCTAGGCAATAGTCGAATACGTCTGAATGATCGTGGGAGCTTCCCTCATCCAAAAATAAAACTAGGTAGTTATCTAGGAGAAAAGGTTCAGATGTGAACCTTGTGCAGCAAGAAGAAGCAAATGCAGCTCACTATCGCAAGGCACAAGGAACTCATCAGTTTGGACCTGTCAAACCTTCCTTCAAAGGACCTGGCCAGCAACGTGCTCGCGGTAAGAAAGGACCTCCTGGATCATGCTATATCTGTAGGAAGTTCGGCCATTTCAAAGCCAACTGTCCACAGGCGAAGAATAAGGGCGGTCCCAAACGCCCGGAATAAGGAGGATCCGGTAAGCGGGAGTTCATCGGCGTCATTGAGTGCAATGCTGCAACTACTGACGCTGGTGGCTGGTGGATTGATTCGGGAGCTACCCGACATATTGCAAAGACGAAGGAAGGGATATGCGACTTCAAGGAGCTGAAGAAGGGAGATCAAAGGATTTACATGGGGAATAATACCTACCTAGATGTTGAAGGTATTGGTTCGTACAGATTGGATCTTGGGGACAGCATCATGGTTCTCAAGGAAGTGTTTTATGCACCTGGCATAAGACGTAATCTGATCTCCGTCCCAGCCCTCCTGAAGAAAGGCCTTGAAGTTAGGTTTTACAACAATAGGGTCTCTATTGGGAAAGACAAGAAAGTGTTTGCTATGGGTAAGTTTGTACCCGAACATGATTTATTTTGTCTTTCTGTTGTAAAACCTGAAATTTGCAATAAGAATTCTGATTTGCTTTATCCCTCGTGTCTTTTATCTGATTTTGATCTATGGCATATGAGACTAGGACACCCTGGTAATAGAAAGATGGATCAGATAATTAAAATGGATTTGTTACCAAATCTGACAGGTGTAAGGACATTACCCTGTGAACACTGCTTAACAGGGAAAATGACTAGAAAGTCATTTTCTGAAGGTCAGAGGGCAAGTGAACTTTTAGAGTTAGTTCATTCTGACATTTGTGGTCCGTTAAGCGTAAAGACACGTGGTAATAAAGAATATTTTATAACTTTCATAGATGATTATTCCAAGTATACTTTTGTGTATCTTTTAAACAGAAAATCAGAAGCATTTGAATGTTTTAAAAGATACAAGACAGAAGTAGAAAGGAAACTTGGAAGATATATTAAGGTGTTAAGAACTGATAGAGGTGGAGAATTCAATTCAATAGAATTTGAAAACTATTGCATTCATTATGGCATTAAGAGACATACCACTATGCCTTACACGCCACAACAGAATGGTGTGGCTGAAAGAAAAAATAGAACATTGATGAATGCAGTGAGATGTATGCTGTCACATTCTGGTCTCTCCAAGGACTTTTGGGGAGAAGCAGTATTGACTGCGAATTATATTTTGAATAGGATTCCCACAAAATCAGTCGAGTCAACACCGTATGAGATTTGGAATTGACACAAACCTGAATTAAGTCACTTAAGAAAATGGGGTTGTGTTGCACATGTTCTCATTCCATATCAAGTTAGAGATAAGCTGGATCTCAAAACCTTAAAGTGTAGATTTATAGGCTATTCTGAAAAGTCTAATGGATATAGGTTCTTCCATGAAGAGAAAGGGGTCATTGAAAGTAGAGATGCTACTTTTCTAGAAAATCTAGAGGAAAGGGAACAAGTTCAAGAGGCAGTACCACCTCTGCTAGACTTAGATGATGTTCCTAACGATGACCTGGACATAGTGGATGAAGTAAATCATCCAATAATGGAAGATGAGCCCTTAAATGAGAATATGCCTATGGAAAATCAACCAGCTGAACCTGTCCAACCTGTTAGCCTTAGTGGTAATAAAAGACCCAGAACAACACCTGCATGGATGGATGATTATTATCTGTATTCATGTGAACCATCATGTTTCTCGGTAGATATTGACATAGATGAGCAAGCTGATCCCTTGAATTATGTGGATGCTATGAACACACATGAATCGGAACAATGGCTGGAAGCCATGAAAAGGGAGCTTGACTCAATAGAGAGAAACAATGTATGGGAGCTATGTGACTTACCAGAAGATAGGAAGTCCATAGGATGTAAATGAGTGTTAAAGAAGAAATATCGGGTTGATGGGTTTATTGATCCATTTAAAGCCTGTTTAGTTGCTAAAGGCTTTACTCAGAAGGCAGGTATAGATTATCAGGAGACTTACTCTCCGGTGGCTAAGTTTGCTTCTATAAGAATTATCTTAGCAATTGTTGCACATCTTGACTTGGAACTTTTCCAAATGGATGTCAAGACTGCATTCCTCAACGGAGAGTTGAAGGAAGTAATATATATGAATCAACCTGAGGGATTTCAGGTTGAAGGACAAGAAAACAAAGTGTATAAATTAAAGAAGTCTTTATATGGTTTAAAACAATCATCTAGACAGTGGTATCTCAAATTTCACAATACTGTTATCCAACTTGGTTTTGTTGTAAATAAATTGGATAACTGTGTATATGTCTTGAAGAGTGGCAGTAGTTTTACAATATTATCCTTGTATGTGGATGATATTTTGCTGGCTGGAAATGACATAGAAGTGCTGAACAAAATCAAGTCAGCACTTAGTAGTGAATTTGAGATGAAGGACATGGGAGATGCATCCTATGTTCTTGGTATACAGATCCTTAGGGATAGAAAGTCTAGAATGTTAAGTTTAAACCAAGAAAAGTATTTGCATGCAATACTTAGAAGGTTTGGGATGCAGAATTGTAACCCTGCGCCAACACCTTTGGTTATGGGAAAAAGGTTGTCTAAAGAACAATGTCCTGGAGAAGGGCAGAAACCACTTGATGTCCCGTATGCACAAGCTGTTGGAAGCTTGATGTATGCTATGTTGTGTACTAGACCAGACTTGGCATATCCGGTGAGTTTGGTTAGTAGATATCAAAGTAAGTATGGTTAGTAGATATCAAAGTAATCCTGGTCCAGCACATTGGGAGGCTGTTAAGAGGATTTTGAAGTACCCATAGCCTGTAGTATGGCCACTACTCATGCAGTCTGGATAAGACGGTTCCTAAAGGACTTGGATCTCAATTTGGTGGATGGACCAATTGAGATATACTGTGATAATCAAGCAGCCATCAGCTTGATCAACAGTGGTGCAAACAGTTCTAAAGGAAAACATATTGAGATACAATATCATTATATTCGTGATATTGTGGAAAAGGAAGAAGTCTGTGTGACTTATATTCCTACTAGTGATATGATTGCTGATCCCTTGACGAAGGGTATCCCAGCAGGTACATTCATCAAACATGTTAGTTTGATGGGACTTAGAAATGTCTAAGTCAAGGAAACTTTCATGAAAAATGAAAGGAGACGATCATGGATAATGGTTGTACTCGGTTTATTCACGTAGAGTGAAAAGTGTATATATCTCATGGATAGTGGGAGTATGAAATTACATCTAGAGTCACATCTCACGGATAGTGGGAGTGTATTCTCAGAAAGTATTTGGCCATTTCGGCCAAGTGGGAGATGTAAGTGGGTTTTTGGCCTCATGGGCCAAATTGTTACCCAACCGTTATCATGTGATCTGGTTGTTAGGGAATATCTCATATTCATCTCCTATTCTGTGGGATATTCTCTAATCAAGATCAGGCGTTACGGAGAAATCTGAGGAGAACGCAGATAGCGGATATTCTGTGGGATATTCTCTAATCAAGATCAGGCGTTACGGAGAAATCTGAGGAGAACGCAGATAGCGGAGGAAAATAAGGCAGAAGATCAGGCGTTACGGAGAAATCTGAGGAGAACGCAGATAGCGGAGGAAAATAAGGCAGCTATTAGGGGGACGGAGAGGGGGAAAGAATGCCTATAAATAGAGAGGATTACCTCACCTCTGAAGACATCAACACAGAAGATCTCCACCGGAGTCCCCAAAATCAATCTCTCTCGTTCTTTCACTAATTAAATGATATTAAAATAACTATAATATAGTTGGAAAACGAGAAACAAAGTGTACTGTTCTGAGTGATTTTTAACAATGGCTAGCATAACATTAACAACTCCATCAGAAATTATCTGATCACAAAGTGGTAGTGCAATTACTGTCATGCCGAAAATTATGTTGAAGTGAAAGAATAGCTGTACTTGTAGTATGGAGTTTTCGAATAGCCCGTTGCATGATGTACATGCTTCGTCATTAGATGATATCATTCAAAGTCATCGACCTTCCAACATAGTAAGACTCATGCTATTCGATGTACATGATTTGTTTTTACTTGCAGACTGGTTGATTTCAACAGGACCTATTCTTGACACAAAACCAGGCTGCTTAGGTTGTGGCAGTGATGCTATATCGCTGCCCAGCATTTGGATTACCGACCACATTAGTGGTCTATCATCTGGATTTTCTTGCACACATAATAAACCTATTTTAATACATTTTAAGACTTCGTTCATTGTAAATGAATGGATGATCAACTCATCGACTAGTTGCAAGCTTTGGTCCTCATTCCATAAACTCCACACCTGCACAAAAGCCCCAAATTATTATGATTTTGATTTGAGGTATAAGTAATATTTTCAAGTTGGCACGTACATGGGCGACAAGGTTTAAGTGGGAAGAGAAGGCATAAACTCCTCTGTTCCTCTTTCCGCTTATGATCTCTAGTATTAGGACTCCGAAGCTAAAAACATCAGATTTCAAGGAGAAGATGCCCTCCAGTGCATACTCAGGAGACATGTAACCACTAAATTGACAATAAAGTTATTAGAAACTTCAGATAAACAAAAAATTTAAACTTCATTAGTTGTTTGTAAGTCATACTTACTATGTACCCACGACTTTTCTTGTATTAAAGTCTGTCTCATCTCCTATGAAAATTCTGGCCATACCAAAGTCCGAGATTTTGGGATTCATGTTCTTATCAAGAAGAATGTTGCTAGCTTTGAGATCTCTATGAATAATTCTAAATCTTGAGTCATGGTGAAGATATACGAGTCCTCGAGTAATTCCTATGATAATTTGATATCGAGTCTGCCAGTCCAAGTAAGTGCCTTCTACTTTCCCTGAAAGAAGAATGGAATTTTGGAAGTATTATTTTTCCGGATAGTCATGTAGAAAGAAAACATTCACCATTTTGAATGATCAACTAATGCCAAAAAGTTAATTTTAATTGATCTTTTCTTACGTAGGGAAATAATCAATCAAAAAGTAGAGAAAAAGATACTGATTTTAAACAAGCACACCCCTTCCAGATCCCCTCCCCTATGCGCACGCTCATATGCACACACTAACGACGATAAAAGAAAATCCATACCTTAATACACACACACACAGACTCATAAAGACAAAGTTATGAATGAAAAGTTACAAGAACTTCCTTTACTCACATAAGGGCACTGCTTATAGGCATAGTTGGGGCCTGTTTGGCTAATACTTAGTTTATCTTGACCTCTTCACCATGAGAGGTTTTATCACTATAGCATGATTGCTCTCAATATGTTTTCAGGAAATTGGCAGACTTTGGTTATTAAGGTCATTCCATTTGTCTTTACATATTAACTCTATTTTCTCGAGGTTTAATATAGGTAGTTAGTTGTGACAATATCTGATGTACATCTCATGTATATATGCGTGTGTTTTTGAGCGTGTGTGTGAGTATATATATAAAGAGAGAAAAATGGGTATGCTTGGTACCAAGCACAAAAAGTTATGCTTGATAGTGAGGTTACATAATCCCATCCACTCATTCAAATGGTTGCATATTCCTAATGCACTCCTCAACCCATTTGAATGTGGTCCCTCATTTGAATGAGTGGAGGGGATTGTGCCACCTCACTACCAAGCACAAAATTTGTGCTTGGTACCAAACATACTCATATTTCTCATATATATATATATATATATTATATATATATATATATTATATATTATATATATATATATAATATAATATATATATATAATATATAAATAGATGTAAAATGGTCGGGACATAACCCCGGACGGTTCCATTAATAAGAGCTTAACAAAACAACCCAAAAATAGCAAAGCCTCGAACAAAATAAGCCGAAGCTAAGCAAGGCGAAACACAAACATCCAGACCATAAACAGGAGAGGAAAAAAAGTAAACTCGCACAGAAATGCTCTCTGCTCCCCACTGTCATGCTTTTCGATGATGTCAACTCACGCATGTTGTTTTCTTGTAAATTAATTAATGAACATAGGGAATTAAGATATATAGTATCACAAGTTTTCCATGAAGAAAAATGTTATCAGAGTATTATAGGAGGAGGCAAATATACCGAACAGGAAAGTATCCAAGCTACTGTTGGGCATGAACTCATATATTAACATCCTCTCCTCTCCTTGAATGCAGCCACCAAGAAGGCGAACAAGATTTCTATGCTGAAGTTTTGCAATAAGCACAATCTCATTCTTGAACTCATCGACACCTTGTTGTGAAGCCCTAGAAAGTCTTTTTACAGCAATCTCTTCATCCTCTCCAAGCTTACCCTGTCAATTATGCAACATTCATCATGAGCGAGTTTCTATTTCTACAAACCTCATTCCCTCATTGCGACCAACTTTCATGTGCAGCTGGACAAGAGAAGTCATTATTAAAGACAGATTTGATCATCCATTTTTTCCAGAAGTAGTGAACGTCGTACATATTTAAGCAGCAAATCTAGTTATTATATGCCATCACTGACCAAGAAATATAGTGTCCCTTCCTGAAAAATAACCACAAGTGTGTTTAGCCCATCAAAATGCACCCACTGTGCTTCTTGATGTGTCATTGCCCCGAATTTATTATGTAGTTTGGCCTTGCTCTGTGTTTCTTAACCTGCAAACTAAAAGTTTGTGACAATTTTTATTGTACATTATTTACCGCCACAGGTTACAGCCCTTTTAAAACGTTAGCTCTGTATGATGATCAAAGTTTTCGATTGCTACTTCATTTTACCGAATAACTTTGAGGAAGAAAACCACCTTGTAAACAGGACCGAATCCACCCTCTCCAAGTTTGTTTCCTTGCGAAAAATTGTCAGTTGCGACTGCTATTGTATCAAAATCAAATAAAGGCAGATCTATGTCATTTTCCATGTCTCCATTGTTTGATTGGTTTTTGAAGAAGAAGCGCCGGACACCTGATCAAGAGGACGAGGGGGTAAAAAAAAAAAGAATATAAAAAACCACGATAGAAAACTAAGGAAAAGAATGGACATGTACAATGGTTAATATTTTGTAAGGAAAAGAATGGACATGTATAGTTTCATATTGGAACTACCTAGCAATGGATTCTATCCTCTTGAAACTAGTGATTCAAGAAAAAAGAAAAAAAAAAAGGGATTCTCCAAGCAGCTTCCTGCCCAGTTTCCACAATCATGAATGGTTGTTTCGTACTCATATCATGTATAAAAGACAGCAAATTTGACTTGAAATTTCCAAGTTATTCTAGCTGCACATGTTTTTGACCTTGACCATTCGTTTATACTCGTGTGGATTTAAAATACTAAAGTAGCTTCCTATACTAATAAAGTGTCGATCTCAACATTGATGTTCCCACTGCACCAAAACCCTAAACGTGTGGTGAGGACTTAGAGTTATAATTTTAACCTAACACGCCCTCACAAATTGAGGCGCCTCTTCTTATACGCTGAAATCTGCTTTAAATGTGTTGCGGGTGGGAATGGAACCTGGGCTGCTCTCGTACCATGTCAAATGATCTTGTGCAACTGAGCCAGAACTTCAAAGTGTATAATGCACTTAAAGATAGCTAGATACTTAAATGAAAGTAGGTAAATTAAATACTTAAACCAAAACTAAATGTCCATAGAATAAAAACAAATCATCTAGTCTTCCACATCATCCTCATGATGAACATTAGCAGCAAACTCCTTTTCAAAGGGAGCAACAGAGGAGAGGATCGAAAGGTATTATTATTATTATTTATTTATTCGATAATTTAGGGTAAAAACCACGGGCAATGATAGAAGAATCTACTATGAGGAAAAACTTTAGAGTTATAATCTCTCTTTACAAGGAGAAACTCTCTCTATTTTTCTCTCTCACTCTTCTACATGTGGAGTTGTTTCTGGGATGAATTTTTCCTGAAGAGTTTTCGGTCTATTTGTAGCGGTTGGAAAAATATTATTCCTAATTTTATAATATTTTTTTACCGTGTCAATCTTTTGGTGCTCACTTTTGGTTCATTTATTTTTGTGGCCCGCCACCTTTTTGTTTGTCCACAATTGCTGCTGTCAGCAATTGCGGCCGACAAGGAGAGGATCGGAAGGTATTATTATTATTATTATTATTTATTTATTCAAGAGGTGGAGTTTTGGTGGAGAGATGAATTGATTGAGAAGAAAGAGAAAAACGCAGGGTAGGCTAATCAAACCATGACCCACTTAAGCAGTTGACTGGTTTTTTGAGCTCTTAACGCCAATTCTACGCGGATTTGATCCGCTTCCGCTTAATCGGCCGATTAACTGGTTGCGTTATGCTTGTTTAAGTTAAGAACATTGAATTTTATACTCTTAACTATGAACATGTTTACGTATATTTAAAGGAAAAAAAAAGTGTATAATGCAGTCAAGAAATAGCTAGCGGAGGAAAGAAAAATGCATGCCAAGCTCCTTCCTTACCTTGCTTAAATATTGGGTTTTCGCCGTTGCGAAAACAACAGAAGTACAAAGAAAGAATGCTAGTAGAGACTAGGAAAACAGCTCCAGATGCAACGCCGACGTATATCCATTTTTTGCGAGAACCCCTGGAGACTGGAGGCTCCGGTGAAAGTGGAGGAGGCTGGAGGCTCTGTACTTGGACCTTAGTAGGCTCAGCGTCAATGGGTATCAAAAGCGTCGTAAATGGATAAATAACATCACCACTGGACAACCCGTTAGCATCCAGAACAGACTGGTAGCTGGAATTAAACTTTCGAGCAATGCTGCGGACACCATCCCCCCAGGTAACAAAATAAGTCAGCAGATACTTGACGCCAAACTCAGTTATCTGATCCGTAGTCGGGCAAGCGCACCTCAAGGGGACGTTGATCTTCATCCCATGAACCAACTCTAGAGGATTGTACGGGTTCTGAGCCATGATTGCTTGACAAGTGGACAGCCCTTGGTATGTACCGTTCGCGATGGAAAAATAAGTCTCACCGGTGGTTTGGATAGTGTAGGTAGCGTTGTGTTGGGAGTAGTTGCCAGTACAAGAGCAAGTTGTGGGGATGATCACTAACTCGTCGATAGGGATTAACGAAGAGTTTTCAGGGATGTTGTTCAGGATTGAGGATGGATTGACGTTGAGGAGGGAGGATATCTGAGACGGTGTTTGATATTTAGTTTGGGAACGGAAGGTGAGGTAGGTATCACAACCGCGCTGAGCTCCATCGCAGGCGTAGCCTTGCGTGGTGGAGCCATTGATCGTTGAGGCGCAGTTGTACTGTGGATTGTTTACTTCATAAGAAGGCTGGATTTGGGCGTGGGATGAGATTAGTAGTCGGAGGAGAAAGGAGATCAGGAAGAGGAAGAGAGGCTTCATGTCCCTGCAAACTCCTCCTCTTGTGCGTTTTATTTGCTTCTCAATTTTAATTTGCAAGTTATATTAAAGACACGAGCAACAAATATGATGAGGTGTTTGTTGGGGAGGTAAAGTTTGAAACGGGAAGTGATTGAAAAAATATCCCTGTAAAAATGTGCTTTCGGATCTCAAGTCAAGTCGTTGGTTCCAAGCCTTGAGCTGTCTCGATTGTAAATGCATGGACTTTTTTCTTAGATATCACCTTAAAAATGGAGGGGTTTTAAAGAAACCGCCTTCTATTTTCAATTTATATGTAAAATAATGATCGTCACTGTTGGACAACGGAGAAGAGTGGGGACCACCCACGTGCGAAACCAAAGTGGCCGAACACGGTTTCGTTTTCGTTGTTTGCGTGCGTGACGGCCCACCCGAAATGAAAAGTTGAGCTTTATAAATAAGCCGACGTTTTCCCCTAGGGTTTGGTAGCAAGGAGGCTTTTGTGCGGCTTTGTGCAAAGGAGCAGAGGCAGGGTACAAGAAAACAGTGTGGCGGCTGCAGCAAAGAAAAAGAGGTCTTATGGCTTCGTGAAGAGAGTTGGCTGCAGCAAAGAGAAAGAGGTCTTATGGCTTCGTGAAGAGAGTTTTGTGCAGTCTATTGTGTTGTTTTGAGAGAGATATTTGTGCGAGGGGTTTGAGAGATTGTGTGAGGGTTTAGATTTGAGAGATTGTAAACACTATTTGTATTCTCTTTTGCCGAACCACGTAAAATTGGTTGTTTGAGTTTGTGGCCATTGTAATAGTTTTTAGGATCCCTCGACGCGCAGTCCTAGAGCTGACGAGAGGAAGAGCAAATATCCCACTTTGATGGGATATTAGGCTTTCAGATTCTTATTCCCTTTGAGAAACAAGAATTCTTATCGATCTTTCTCTCTTATTGTGCACCAGAAACTCTGTCGAAATTTTCGCTGCGCACAACAAGTGGTATCAGAGCTCGGGCTACGCTTGGGCTATTTGGAGGAGTAGATTAATTTGGAGGCTCGCCTAGGGCTTCGTTTGGTGATAAAGGTGGGATCTTTTGGTAAAAACTCTATCTTTCAGTTTTGGATCTATTCTTTGTTCGTTGGTGCGTAAGATGTCGGGGAAAGAAGGTGCTTCGGGTGTCGAGGGTGGTGCTTCGGGCACGAAGACCATTCAGAGTTTGAATATCCACTCTATGAAGATAGATGTGGAGAAATTTAATGGCACAAACAATTTTAGATTATGGAGATGCGAGGTTTTGGATGCGCTGAACGCGCAGAATTTGGAGGACACCTTGGAGTTAGATGGCAAGCCAGATGAGATTGAAGAGAAGGTTTGGAAAAAGATGAATCGAACGGCGTCCAGTGTGATTAGATCTTGTTTGACTCAAGATCTAAAATATGATGTGATGAATGAGACTTCTGCGAAGAAGATTTGGGAGATTCTCGAAAGCAAGTATTTGACCAAGAGTGTGGAAAATCGCTTGCATTTGAAGAGGAGACTTTATCGTTTCCAGTTGAAGAAGGGAACCTCCATTAGAGATCACATGAACCACTACACAAAGCTTCTTGCGGATTTGGCGAATGTGGATGTCAAGATTGAAGATGAGGACAAGGCGTTGCTGTTGTTGAGTTCCTTGCCCGACGAGGAATATGAGACCTTCGTTCTTACTCTGATTAATGGGAAGGCATCACTTTCGTATAGTGAGGTCACCGCTGCACTTGTGAATTATCAGCTTCGAAAGAAGGATAATGAGGCTTCAGTTAAGCCGGTAGCGGAGGCGTTGGTCGCAAGAGGGAAGAGTCCAAACCGAAAGAATTGGAAGTCACAGTCTAGAGTAGGGCATCCTACAATTGGAAAAGATCAGTGTGCTTGGTGCAAGGAGACTGGTCATTGGAAGAAAGACTGCCCAAAGCTCGACGAATGGATGAAGAATAAGCAGAAGGGAAAAGGGAAGCAGCCATCATCAGAAACAAACATCGTATCGGATGGTAATAATTCTGACTCTTCTATTTATTCGCTTTCTATCACTCCTACAGATAGCTATTCGGAGGAATCTGAATGGATGTTGGATAGTGGTGCGACCTATCATATGTGCCCTAGAAGGGAATGGTTCTCCAGTTTTGAGAAGCTTGTGGATAGTGGTGTGGTGTACATGACTGATAACCGTGCATGCCAGATCCTTGGGATAGGAAGAATTCGCATTAAAATGTTTGACGGGACTGTTAGAGAGTTAAACGATGTGAGATATGTTCCTTCTTTGAGGAAGAACTTGATCTCGATTGGAGCTTTGATTGGAGAGGGTCTGAAGGTTCGTGTTGAGGACATGGTTCTCGAGATTGCAGGAGACTCTCGTATTTTGATGAAGGGCGTCAGGAGAAATAACCTGTATTACTTGACTGGAGGTATAGTGGCAGGTGGAGAGCTGACGACTTCTGTTGATTCGACTAGACTGCGGCATTTGGGGCTTGGCCATTCCAGTATTGATTCCTCGCATAGATTGAAAGAGGGTGCAAAGATCTGCAGTTTGAAGTCCAGTAAACATGTTGATGTGAGCAAGAAGACCGAGGTGAAGTGTGGCACCTCTATTGACCGTGCTAAGGGTCGTTCTGGAGGAGTTCACGTGAATGTTTGGGGGCCTTCCAAGGGGGCATCATTGGGAGGTAATAGGCATTTGGTTTCCTTTGTTGGTGACTGTTCTAGGCGTGTTTGGGTTGCAACCAAATCCCCTTTAGAGAAAGTCCTAGTAGTATCCAACAGATTGAAGAAGTGTGATATTAGCAGAAAGGTGAAGGTACTCCATTCTGGTGGGAGGTACAAGATGGACCTATTTCTACATTGGAACCGAGCTCACGGCATTGCGAGACACTTCGTTGGAAAGGAAATCTTGGGGCAACTAGATAAGATAACAAATTTGGAGAACCGTGCCTTTCTGGAGGAGGATCGGTGTTTGTGGTCGAGCAATGGTTTGCAGAAGAGTTTCTGGACAGAGGCTTCGACAAATTTGGGTCATCCTATTAAAGAGTTGTCAACTGAGGCTTCGACAAATTTGGGTCATCCTATTAAAGAGTTGTCAACTGCTGTGATTGGAGGTAAAACTCCATCAGAAGATAGGTCTGGTAGTGTCACTTTGGTTGAGGCTTCGTGATTGTGGAAAATTTGTAATAAGAAAACAAGGAAAGAACTGTATTTGATTTTATTCTCTCTAACTGCTTAGAAAAAGAATGATTACAATTCTCTCAACTCTCGATTACAATTTGAATTCCTGGTTACAAAAGAGAAGAGAATGATCTGGATTCTCCTCTTTATTTAATTCTGGGTTCTTCACGGTAGCGATGGGATGCCTCCCTCGAATGCTCGCGTCGAGTTTGCTTCTCGTTGACGATCCGATGTCTTGTTTCACTGGAATGTGGTCTTCTCCTCACGATTTGACGTTGTGGAGAACTTGCGTGGCAAGTTTTAGAACTCTGAATGAGTTTGTTTGATCTTAACCGTAATTGGTTAGACAAGCCAAAGATCTCTTCTCTTCTGTTAAGGAGAAGGATCCAAAAGCCAGCCCGAGATCTCTTCTTTTCTGCCCAAAAAAGAAGGATCTCAACTAAGTTGATTTCTTAGTTATTTATAGGGGATTAAGGGGTGTAACCACCTCCTTAATTCGCTCCTAAGTGGGGCTAATGGGATGTAACCGCCCCTTAAATCACTCCTGAGTGGAGTTGTGATCCCCTCAGATCGTGGGAAACGGTTTTGAAACTGTTCAGCTCGTGTTTGAACGAGTCAAACGCAAAATCCGCGTTCTGGCGTGAATTCTGCATTCAAACGCAGTGTCTGGAAGCTCGGACGCAGCGATTGGAAGCTCGGACGCAGCGATTGGAAGCTCGGACGCAGCGATTGGAAGCTCGGACGCAGCGATTGGAAGCTCGGACGCAGCGTCTTGTTGGAAGCTGCGTTTGGCGGCTTGAAAGCTGCGTTTGGCAGCAGATGGCAGCTGCGTTTGGCAGCGCTTGGAGCTGTGTTGAGCAGCAGATGGCAGCTGCGTTGAGCAGCAGATGGCAGCTGCGTTTGGCAGCGCTTGGAGCTGTGTTGAGCAGCAGATGGCAGCTGCGTTGAGCAGCAGATGGCAGCTGCGTTTGGCAGCGCTTGGAGCTGCGTTGAGCTGCGTTTGGTAGCTTGGAAGCTGCGTTTGGCAGCAGATGGCAGCTGCGTTTGAGCTGCGTTTGCAGCTTGGAACCTGCGTTTGGCAGCAGATGGCAGCTGCGTTTGAGCTGCGTTTGCAGCTTGGAACCTGCGTTTGGCAGCAGATGGCAGCTGCGTTTGAGCTGCAGCTTTTGGAGCTATGTTTGCGCTGCGTTCGTGGCTATGAACACGGTGCGTCTTGATGCTGGTGTGCGGGGAGGACTTCCGCAGTTTGATTTGAAGAGACCGTCGATTTGTAGTCTCTTTCTGTTGAAGCGTTGCAAAGATCGTCATTTTGTAATCTTTGCTTTAGCTCTCTGATATGTGAGAGTCGTCAGATTGTAACTCCCGATGTTGATTATGAAGGCTGTTTGATTAGAGCTTCCATCAGTTGTCGTGAAGGTCGTCAGATTGTAACCTTTAGCGATCTACATGAAAGTCTTCAAATTGTAACCTTCTGGAAGTCGTCAGATTGTAACTTCCATCATCGGTGTTTTGATGGGGATCAGCTATCTATTGTGATTTTTAGACAGCCTACAGAACCCCCTCCAAAGTTTTCGAAAGTTCGCGGTTGACTGGGACGAATTTTCGCAATACTTTGGATCTCAACTCTAATCTTGGAGCTGTTGATTCCTTGTCACAAAGGAGTTGTTCTCTGCACTCGCTTCGAAAGCAGCTTGGTTGAACGGATTTTCCATGCAGGACCTGTGTGAAGGTATGTGCCATAATCCTGCTTCTGGAATGTATGTGGGGGTGAACCCTGCATTTTGAACTTGAGATGTGGGTCTCACCCTTGCATGTTGAATTTGGAACACAGGTGTGACCTCGGCGTTTGGTTTTTGCATCGCGGGTCTGACCTCAACGTTTTGACTTAAGACATGGAAGTGGCTTCCGTGCATTTTTGACTAAGTCTTTGAGACTTATCTTTGGCTCATCTGTTT